AAATTAATTGAATAAATAATCAAATATGTTTTTTATAATTTTAATTAATTAGTTAATTAAGTTCTTGTCATTTCTATTGAAAAGTCGTTGAAATTTCCTCCTAGAAAAGCAAGTACATCTTACTTATTAATTTGGTATTGAAAAACCAATTTCTATTACACGTTATATTTTGTCATTCTACATGAAGAAACTAGAAGATACTAAGAAAGTTAACGAAGTTTGCTCGTGTAAATTACAAAAGAAAATTAGACGCAGAAACACGGCTGCGAATTCGTTACAAACCGTTCATTTAAGACTTATAGTAACAAGAGGAATATTTGACTCTACATCATCTGTACAAAATTTCGATAGTGATGTGATCATTTAACTCAGCTAGTACAAATGCTAGTCCGTCTCCTACTTTCTCCTCGTCAAACTTGTGCTCGTATTCATATCGTTGTGTTCATTGATCGACTGTTAATATAATAAATAAGCACGAATTTATCGAGATTCGAAGGCGGACGAGCATTCGTTTGTTGTTCGAATAAATTAAAGCCAATCACAGCCGACTGCCATCTTCTCAGCTGCCGATTTTTTACAACGAAAGTTGGAGAAAAAGGAAAATATCCTCTCGAAGTATACAAACATATAAATAACCGAGTGTACACATAGTTTGTGATCGAGGAAGCGGAATTCGAATGAAATCCGCGCGTCACGTAGGGCCGTCTGACTACTTCCGACTTATTTACAATGCCCTCCGAGACTGTTCTGGCGATCGTCGACGAACCTTAACCCTCATAGCACGCCGCGACTTATCTCTCACTGCTTTAACGCGCGATTAAGCTACCTTTCTTAACTTCTTTTTTTTTTCTTTTTTTTTTTCTTATTTCTTCTGTTTTGTTCTTTCTCTTTAGTTCTGCCGCGATTGTGACGTGCCACGAAGTTCGGCCTAAAAAAAGTTCGCGTTGAAGAACGTTTCACCGTCAGCCACTTTGATATAATAATTCTTTTACGATTTACAGTAGGAATTTTTACGTAGACATATAAGCAGACATTTACAGAAATGAAGCCAGTCCGGATTTCGATAACTTTTTGACATCTCGTTAAATTTATCACGTTGTATAATAGTTTATTATTGAGAAAGAAAACAGAAAATAAATATTCACAGAAACGAAGCCATTTTAGATAATTTTTTAATGTATTGTCGACCTCTGATTATCAAGCTTATTTTTTATCAAACTAAAATAAATTAAATTAAATACGATTAGACTAAATAAAAATTAAATTTGAAGATTAGGGTTAGAGTCACCAATTTTCCTTGTGTCGCGAAAATTATTTACTTTCGAATAAATTTCCATCGATAATAATTTTCTAATGCACGACAAACCCTGACAAATTATTAAAAAAAAAAAATTATCAAAATCAAAGGTGGCTTCACTTTCTGCAAATATTTCTCGAAACCAGACGCGCATATTTGATGGCAGCGATCAACAGTGACAATCGTGAACAGGTGAAACGTCCTCGATGCGTCATTCTATAAGATTCTTTGATTCATCCTCCTTCTCACTTTTTCACCCTCCCCGACCGCGGAGTCGCGTTTTATTTACACGAAATTCGCCCGAGCATTCCATCTATTCTTTCGTTCAAGCGAGCTCGACCGAAGGAACCGCGCGTTCGATTGATCAACGATGAGATTCAACTAAGGGAGGGGGGAGAGGTCCGGGGGAAAGAAGCTGAATTTCAGATAGGGGGGTGAGGGAGGAAACCGAAAGAACGGAGAGAATGTCCGAGGCAACTTGGCCGTTGAAATTGAACGATATGTTTCCAGCACGGTGTACGTCCCCGAGGTTCGGCCATCCGCCGAGGAAAAAATCATTCTCTCTCTCTCGTTATCATCGTCGCGACGTTTCAGTTGGCCACCTTCACGAATTCCGGGTTCGGCACGCTGCAGTTCTCCGCCGCGTACGCCGGATGAACGAAGCCGCTTCCGGCCACGATGTTCTTCCGGTCGACAGCGCGCACCCTGACGAATAGGAACGCGGCGACGAGGGACGCGACGACCACCACGAGAAGCAGCATCACGAGGCCGCCGACGAAGCCTGGCAGGCTCATGCAGATTGTTTCGGGATCGGACGATGCGCTGGCGTTTTGAATGACGACGGTGGTGTCGTTGCTGGAATTTGTTGTGCCCAGGGCGAAATTCACGTCGCCCGGTGCCACCACTTGGATTGTTCTCGAGGTGTTCACGTCGGTCATCTCTTGGGCCGCTCGCTTGTACACGTGGCTCGAGACCAAGGTGACCGTTCGGTAGATACTCTGCAAAGTGAGTAAAGTACGATTGTTATTAATAATTATATGCAAATAAAACAATGGGAATGTACGTAACACAACATGTTACGTTACAGGTGATTATATATTGATTAATAATCATATGTACAAAATGATTAAAGCTTGCTTGATTTTCTTTCAACAACTTTCTTTTCATCGTTGTTGATTCGTTTGTATTCTATGCTGTATATATATAAATAAATAAATTTAATATTTTTCAAATACTTTATTTTCGAAATAAAGTAATAAAAATTGTTTATAAATTATTAATATTATCAAATAATGAATGTCACAAACATATGTAATAATAAAGTAAAATATTTTTTATGCCTATAGAATTAACACTAATAGACTGTTAGTCTTTGTTTGTGTTCCTTCCATTAAGTTGTATATGGAATTTTTAACAGAAATTAATAATTAAATTTTTATTCCGTCCTAGAGACTAACACGATAAATTAAAGGCAATTATTATTAACAACACATTTTTGAACAATAACACAAAGTATTAAACAGCTATAGAAGAAGGACTAAGCGCAAGCTTTGATTTATTATCAATGTGCAAATAGACATAAACAACTAACGTGAGAAAATGTAAATAATAAAACTTACGGAGTCCTCATCTTCCAGAATTTCGTCGCCGGATCTTCGT